TGGGTATATAATTCTTGGTTGGAAATTTTTCTCTTTCAGGATTTTATATATACCATCCCATTGCCTTCTCACCTGAATGGTTTCTGCTGACAAATAAGAGGTCAGTCTTATTGGTTGTCCTTTGTAGGTAACTTGTCATTTTTCCCATGCTGCCTTCAGGATTCTTTCTTTATCTTTGGTTTTTATGAGTTTGATGATGATATGTCTTGTTGATTTTTTGGGGGGAGTCAATCCTGTTTGGGGTTTGTTGGACTTCCTGAATGGATATACTCTTATCTTTTATCATATCAGGGAAGTTCTCTTCTAACAAATCTTGGACAATTTTCTCAGTGGTTTTCTTTTTCTCTTCCTGTTCTGGAATTTCGATTACATGTAGGTTATTCCTTTTGATGGTATTCCACACAAATCTTAACTTTTCTTCTTTATGTTTTGATCTTTTTTTCCTGATAGATCCCTTGCCAAAGAAGTATTCAGGTATTTGTCCTCCAGCTCATTAATTCTGTCTTCCATTGATTCGATTCTATTCCTTTGCCCTGTCAATGTGTTATCTATTTCAGAAAATTTAGTATTAATCTTCTGGATTTCTATGTGTAGATTTTGTATCATTTTTTTTCATTTATTTGTCTTTATGTTCCTGTATTTTCTTCCAAGATTGTTCTAGGGTTTTGTCTGCTTTCCTTAATTTTGTCAGTGTTTTCTTTGATCTGTCTCTCAGTCCTTTGAAGGTACCTAAGTGTAATTCTTTTGAATTCTTTATCAGGGAATTCCAATGCTGCTGTTTCCTCAGGGATGTGTTCTGGATCTGTATCCTGCTCTTTTGCTTATACCACTTTATGTTGCTTCTTTGTGTGGACTGGGATGGTCTTTTCTCTCCTAGACATTGTGACATTGTTGTATTTACATTAAATTGGTGATTTTATGTTGGAGTGATTCACAGATTTTTGTTTTCTTTGTTTTTGTGGATGTATCTGGATAAGCAGAGTACTGTGTTCCTTTATTTGCTAGTTGGCAGCACTTATGCCCTTATCACCTGTCTCCTAGTGGTTGTGATACAGAATGAGAGTGGCTGCACAGATCTCTGTTAACTGTTTGTGAAGAGCAATTAAGGGGGAAGCAGGCTCTTGAAGATCATTTATAGTTGGCCAGTTGATGGAGAAGGAAGTGGTGGCTCTCAGTAAGTGGACCTACAGGAGGAGTGGGTGTGGTTGCATCCTATGGGTATGGTTGATGTCTCCCACTCAGTTAGACAAAAACAACAATCAAAAAACCATCAAAAAGTAAAATTAAGTGGACAAAAAACACATCACATAAACACACAGGAATAATAATAAAAAAGACAGAGGGGAAAAAAAAAAGGAAAGGCAAAAAATGAGAGAAAATATTTTAAAAAATACTTTAAAAAGCCAAAAGAAATATGCATAGAAAAGGGGGTGAACAAAACAAAACAAAACAAAAAGCCCTGCAATATCTGGAGAGGGGTCAATAAGACAAAGGAGGTAGAGTAGGGGAATAATAAAGAAAAAAAAAATGGGAAAAAGCAAACAGAAAAAAAAGTAATGGGGAGAACCATGAGAAAGAGAAAAATGGAAAGCAGGAACAGGGAAGAGAGAAAAATCTGAAAACTAGAAATTAGGAAGTAAAGAATAAAGAAGAAGCATAAAAAGGAAGAAAAAAAGAAAAAGATTTATAATAATTTTTCAAATGACAAAAACAGATAAATTAAAAAAAAAAAAAATCTGTGCAGCATGGGGCAGGGCACCCAGGCTCTGTCAGAGCACACAGAGTGGGATGGAATTCCTGCCGGCCCAGAAGGTGGGTAAGAGTGAGGGAGGGCCACATCTCCATTCACCAAGAGGGTTTGTGGTATAAGAATAACAAGGGGAATGTCACATCTTTCCAGTCATTTGTGTCCAGATGTCCTTGTAGTTCCTGGCAAGTGTAGCTTATTCTTAGGTGACTGGAATCTGAGAGAATGCTGTCACTTTAAATATCCAAAACGGTCCAACTGCTTGTAAACATTCAAAATGGCTATGCTCTCTGGACAGCCAAAAGTCCATAGCTCAGCCTGTCTCCCTCTTTGCTACTTCCCCTTTTACTTACCAGGCACCAGGTCACAGTCCTGATACAGTAAAAGGGCAGTTCCCCTGGGGTGTGGTCTGCATCATCTTACACGAGATAGAATGAGAGAGAAGCAAGCAGAGAAGGAGGGACCTGACTACCACCCAGAAAGAAGAACCAGAAGCAGAGGCTGTGTTTGGACCCAGGGTCTGTGCCTGAGAACTGCTTAGACCCATGGGAAGACTGATGCCAAGACACATGGAGATCTCCAAGAGATGCTCAGCCAACAGATGTTGAGAGGAGACAAGGACCTTTCCCGAAAACTGACACAGAGAGAGAGACTTCCCCTAGATCTGGCACTCTGAATTCAGACTTCTTGTTACTGTTATTTGCCATCCAGTCGGACCCGACTCATAGCGACCTCTCCTTGGATTTCCAAGGCAGTATTATTACAGAAGTACATTGCCCAACTTTCCTTCTGAGGAGTGGCTGGTGAGTTTGAACCACATAGTCTCCTAAACTGTGACAGAATAAACTTTTGTTAAAACCATCCACTCGGGATATATCTGTGATAGCAGCACTGGGTAACGAAGACATCTGTTATCTGAGAGACACTGAGTTTTACATGTTTATTTTAATAGTATTTTTTAAATGTGTCCAATTCTTTTCTCTTTCTTCTTCTTCTTCTTTTTTTTTAATGCTTTAGCCTCACTCTGTGATCCCACTTTCATCCTGGGATGTGCCCCCTGCAATGTGATCTGCTCCATTATTTTCCAGAATCGTTTTGATTATAAAGATCAGGATTTTCTTAACCTGATGAAAAGATTAAATGAAAACACCAGTATTGCAAGCTCTCCATGGATGCAGGTGAGGCCAGGTCCTTTCCTCTTGAGAAATCATTTGTTATTCTTCCTCTGGAAAGTACAAAATTCTGTATGGACCAAGCTGTAAAGTTTGAACAAAAATGTCCTGCTTAGGGTCTGTTATGGATGGACATATGTCCCCAAAACATGTGTTGTAAATCCTAACTCCAATATCTATGGTTATAACCTCAGATGGGGATGAGTTTTCTTTATTATTTTAATGAGATAATATTAGAGAGTGGTTAAGCTTACCTTTTTAGAGATTTAAAAGAAATTAAATAAGTAAATGAGTAAGCTGAGATAGGGAAGAAAGTTGCCACCTCACATGAAGGTGACCTAGGAGCAGAAGCTCTTGGAGAAGGAGGTTACTCCAGAGCCAACAGAAAGAGAAAGCATTCCCCTACAACTTGCACCTGAACTCAGACTTCTAGGCTACTGGACAGTAAGAGAATAAATTTCTGCTCATTAAAGCCACTCATTTTTGGTGTTTCTATTATAGCAACACTGCATAAATAAGACAGGGTCATGGAGTGAACATCAGTGAAAGATAAACTGCCCTTTAGTTTCCACATGAGAGCACAATACTCAGAATATAGAGCTGTCTTCAAGCTCATGGACACCCTGTCCAGTCATTTTTCCAATAAACCCCAAACCCAGTTTCCATAAAATACTCTGATGACTTCTGAAAATATCCACACAGCAGTCAA